GCGGAAATTTTCATATTTAGAAGAGGGTTGTAATTAATTTCATTCCGGTTGTCGATCAATAGTCGTGGCCGTTAATTAAAAGCGGTAACGAGAGTGACTGAAAAACCGAGTGACACGGTAACTCCGTTATCGCATTATCTGCGCCGGTTTATCACGACGTGGAGGAGGGGGGGGGGGGGAGGAGGAGGGAATTTAAGGTGGCCGAAAAAGTAATTATCGGTTGCCATTAGCGGCGCAGTAACGTTAGATTCTTTCGACACGCTTTCACTTTGTCGCCGTTATCGAGAAGATAATGGCGAAGGAAAAACGACATTGCGGGGAAGAGAAAGGGGGAGTGGGGGTGGGGGGATGCGGGTTCGAGGAAAAGAAATTATAAAGAAGAGAGAATTTCGATATCGAAAGTATTCCTTTCTATAGTAATGATGTCTACGATGAATTGATATTGATTTCTAGTTTCAAGTTTTGTATAAATTTTATAATTTTATAATCCGTGAAAAATATGTGTATCGAATATACATTGTATACGTTACAAAATAAATAATTTTTTGTGCTTTCTATATGTATTAACAGAGACACAATTAAAATGATAAAAAATAATTCACCTTTGAAAAAGTGCACATAAATCAACTGTTGATTTATTGAAACGAATTGAAACATTTACACTGTGTTCATCTGTATATCTGTACATCTAAATAAGCAAAATCTTCTCACGGGCGGATAATTCATAGATTCCGTTCAAAGAGACAAATTATAAATTGGTATATATAAATTTTTACAAATTAAAATTTTAATCCGTGAAAAATATGTAATCATAATAACATCTCTTGTGTTTTTTTATATGTATTAATAGAGAACACAATTAAAATCGGCATGATTTTATCAACTGTGCTTTATTATAAACGAATTACATTTACGCTATACGTATAAATCTAGATAAACAAATTGCACAAAATCTTCTCACAGACACAGGATAATTTATAGATTCAAAGGGACAAATTGTAAACTGTTATATATAAATTTTTCCTCGAATTATAACTCCAATATGCTACTACTAATAAATACAATTTCAATAAATCAACGATACGTTGTAGATATTCGAATGCTCCCTACACGAGAAAAATAAATTTCGAAGAGAATTTGCGATTGGAACGATCGCGAGACCTTGCGTGCACGTGTGTGACGTGAAATAGAAGTAGAGTAGCGCGGCATTTGTCAGGCGTGGCGTAGAATTCGAGACTTCCGCCCTATGCGGTGACCGAAAAGCACAGAAGCTCGGGTAACGTCCACAGATTAGCATAAACAGTATTGTCTTTGGAGGATCGAGTAACGGGCGCAAAGGGCTCGATAGGATTCGATCGAAATAAGCAAACAAGCTTCGATCCAACCGTGTGGGTTAGGCAAAGGACCTACGATGAATCGCGGTAAAACAACAGCAGACGGATCGACGACCGTACACGTCCAATCGCTATATTTTACCTCAAACGTCTCTTGGCTTTCGCTGGGTCGAGGGAACGAAGTTTTGATTAATAAGGAGGGGATATATAAATATCGTCGATTTCCATATTCCAAGTTTCTTCCTTAATCCTGGGGGAAGAATAAACTGCGCTTGTGTCTTATTTGCATCGAATGATTATTACAATTGGATGTCGTTATGCGGGGATTTATGATTTTGTAGGAAGAGATAATCGAATTAGTTCAAAACAGTTTTATTTAGAAAGGATAAAATGACTTTATATTTTATATATATTTTTTTTGGATAATTTTGAATGAAACATCCTGTACAATCTATCTTGTACATCAGTTCCTCGAATTTTAATATGTACGATGAAATATTTGAATGCTAATGGAAATTTAATCTAATTGAATTTATTACAAAATATTTTCACTTAAATATAATAGCAAGATTGATTAATTAATAATGTGCTCGGAAGAAGGATGAATAATAAATTAACGTTTGTTGTCACGTATAGATACGTGCACAATATCAGTGTATTTTTAGTTATAATTTCTGTCGCCAAAGTTAGAATTTATTCGCAACAAAGTTAGAAAAGAAAATGAAACGAAATTTCTGCAACGCAACGAATCAAGATAATCAATGTCATGCTCTTAACCATTACTCAACACTTTAATGGCATCGAGTAAATTTGCTTGGTCATCTTATTATCGAAGACCACCTTCGTACATTAAAATACGATATTTCTTCGTGGCTAATTAGACTCTACTTGACGATGTGACGTCGTTGTGACAGTGATGTCAAAGTTAAACGAACGAGAATGGAATATCGATGAAGATAATTCCGTAAATAAATAAAATAGAAAATTGATCGATTCTTAAAAGAGACGAAAAGTGATTGATCGAAGAGCACAGAAGATTGCGATGATTTATTTGAAGATAAATTCCGAAGACGAAAAGTTGACCTTGACCTTGAAACCCAAGGCCAACATTTTTCCATCCCATTCCATCGTGCTCTATTCACCGAAAGGATAATAACGAATTGTAGGGAGCCACTACATGGTGGGCTTAGAATCGAGAATTTGTAGGGAAAGGTCACAGTATAAATCAGCCCTTTCAAGTTTGTGCCAAACCATCACCCTCCACAATAGGACTCTTTACGAACCACTAGTTTACCCATTGTACATTGCCTTCAATTTCGCCATTGCTTCTTTTATCACTTCGAAAAACCTGACCAATCACATCATTCAATGCGCAGTGATTCATTCCTTTGACGATTTTTTTTTTTTTTTTTTTGTTATACAGTTCTTTTTATCCTAATATTTTCTTTTCTCTCTTTTTACTTATTGAAGAAAAGCATCAGATTATAGAAAAATTATGTATAATAAAAGTAATATGATAGTGATATCAATAATTTAAACTATAAAAAATAAACTTTACAGACGGAAATGAACAATTTTTTAACAACGATCTTTAATAGAACTCACGAAGTTTCAGGGAGCATGGAAAGTGCATGCTTTCGAGAAGGATACTATCTACTTCGACGTCCATACAGATGTTGCTTGTTGTAATCCAATAGTTCGAATTCTGGGTGACGTATATAGCACATAAAACCTATGATGCGAACGGAATATGGGTTCGAGACACACACTAAGAGATCTCTGGGAATTCAGAGATTTATATGTAGCTTTCACACTATCGTCGTGCCTCCATCGTTTCGCTCTTTTTGCATCAAAGATATTGCATCAAGTATCAAGCGAAATATTTCTCGAAAAGCTGAGATAAATTGGATTAATACCATCTCTCTCTCTCTCTCTCTCTCTCTAAAAAAAAAAGGTTCGAACGAATAGAAAAATGATCTTTCGTTGCCAAAGAAATTAATAATATCCGAGCCAGATCGATTAAATTTAATTTCTCGAATTAAAGTAACGTGTTTTCACTATCGAATATACGAATCGTGAGTATTATTTCAAGTCAAAGTAAAGGGCAACACTTGTTGAAAGTATATTTCGAGTCAATTTATTCGAGCTTACGTACAAAGGAAATATTTATTTCACAAATTCCATCGTTTATTATTCACCAAAAAAAAAAAAAAAGAAGAAGAAGAAGAAGGAACCTGCGGGTTAGGTTCCCATAAAATATTCCACCCACGAATACTTTATTCCGGTCGAAAATTTCGAGGGCAAAGATATCGGTCGAAGAATTTTCTTCTCCTCCTTCTTTTCTCTCTTTCCTTTTTTTTCCCCAGAAAAAAAGGGGAAGGAGGGGGAAAAAAAAGAAGAAGAAGAAGAAAATTATCGTGGCACAGGATAAAAGCTTTGAGGACCTACAAACAGCCACGGCTCCCGAGGGAGGCGCGGACGCCACGGGATCCTGCGTGTCTGGAAAGTTGAACGAAAATAAACGAGAGAGCCTCGATGTAGGTTGAGGGAATGAGGTTAAGTTCTAGGATACCGGGATCCACGGTTGTGGTACAGGACGAATACAGACCTCGAGGACGAAATTTATGCACCAGACTTGGAGGTAAATTTATATATACCACGAGACCTCGATGAAACTCACCCTTCGAACGGGACAACGTTTCGACGTTTTTTGAAAAGTAATGCATTTTTTCACGAAAGTTTTTAATATTCCTCCGATTGCCTGTCATCGAACCTTACTTTTCACGATACTTGTTTCCGATGGCTCGAATGGAAAATCTTGAAGGGGATGAACTATTCATCAGAAGGGAATAGGAATCGTAATGAAAGTATCAAAAATCGAGTGTTCTTTGATTTCATGGATCTTTGATTTTATTGTAAGTAGTATAAATATCTGTCGTCAAGACATACTAAGTAATTTAATTCAAAATTTGATGGAATAAATATTGAAATCACGAACAATAAGCTTGTCGAATGCAATTAAATAAAAATACCAATACGAATTTATTATTATATTTACCTCGACGAGTAGAGCATGTACTTTTAAGAGTTATCTCAACACTTTGTACATTAAGAAGGTATCATCTCGTATTTTTGAGAGAGAGAGAGAGAGAAAAAAGTGTGTATCCACTATGCATGCTAATACACACACGCGTTATATATGGTAAGTAAGTATGATGGTAAATATGTAAAAATAAAGCGACGCGTCGTTTCGTAGTCAAAAAAGTATTACTCCATTTTATGAAGCTATATCATAAAATGTGTGCACTTTTCTTCTGAAAGCGCAATGTTAGAAACGATGCACAAAGTCATTGTTTATCACCCAAGCCTCGTAACGCGTGAATACCATTTGGCAAAGTGCGAGCTGCAATTTCTATTCCTTTTCTTCCTTTATTTTCTCAGTCGTTTCACTTTTTTTTTTTTTTCCTTCTTTGAAACGATTCATTGTCGATCGAGAGTTAAAAATTTTAAATCACTATTAAAAAATTTACTTTAAATTGTAGCGGGTAATATAAAACAATTGTTTCATTCTTGACCAATCATTATCCAATTATTCAATTTGTAATTTAAATATCGATCTGTATAAATACAGATAACAATGATAAAATTTTAATTTGAAAAACTTACCCATGAATGCAGCCAAGTTAATATTGCGAGAAACCTTGCCACAGTTTGCAAACTTTCTGCGAATCGCGATACGGTGATTGGTAACTGGAAAAAAAGGAATAGAAATGGTGAATTATATTTAAAAATTATATATACACTTTCTTTACGCGTTAAAAATCTCCAATTTTGCCAGAATGTTTCGCTTCAATTCAAAAATTCCACCGCATCATTTCGAAGATCGACGAGCTCGCCGATCGTTCAAGATCGATTTCATTGAATAATTCGTATAAACACGAATCCTTTCGCGATGCTCGTTAAAAACTTTCGAGCAATATTAACTCGAGCTTGACGAAGAACCACTTCTCCCTACATTTCTATTTTGCTAAACAGATTTCCTCGAGGTTAAGGCAAACGGATATCGTTGGTGGTACAAACTCACGCACCTCCATTCACGAACGAAGTGGAGAAAGTGGGGCAAACACCGATTACCGATTAATCCGAACTTTCGTGGCTGAAAGAACTTGACGCGGGAAACCAACTCAAAAATTACATCGAGCCAAGTACCATGGAATTTTTCCAAGTTGGTAATTGACCAGATACGCCATTGGAAAGGATTTGTCGAGGAAGTCTGTGTGGCGACATATGAAACTTTTAATATTTTTTCCTCTCCTGGAAACAGCTCGATTCGTTCCAAGTAAAACTTATTCCCTCTTAAATCGCGAACCTCCCTTATTTTCACGAGATCGTTTCAATTAATCTAACAACGACTCTCATTTATAAAGTTGCTGCTGCTGTTCACAAGGAGGAAGAGGGAGGAGGGGAGCGGGTTTATTATTCGACCGTTCGAATCCGGTTCCTTCGAAATTTTTCCCCTCGGAGGAGAGACATTTTCGGAGGGTTGATGCGCGTTATCGGATTAGAGGGTGGATGGCAGAGCGCATCGCGCCGACACGTCACGGCGAATATATACGTATTATCTGGGAAAAGTGCAGCGGTCGAGTCGGCAGGCTGGAAACTAGACGAGAATAAACTGGAGAGCCGTGAAATGGATCGCGGCAACAGGGTCAAGTTTTCGCCTGTATCGGGATGAGATGGGATCGAAGGGGGCGCGCGCCACCGTATTTTTAGAACGGTTGAAGGAAACTGGACAAGCGGAAGTAACGTGTGACGCGCTCGGATAATGATGTTGAACCGTTTATTTGTTTATTCGTTTTGCGATGAAAGGAATGAATAAATTTTCTGAAAAATCCGTAATAACGCACGAGCTGTATCAAATTTGAACAAATTGTAACTTTTTAATCGCGCACAATACACTGGAGCAATATTGAACGTTGAAAAAGGATACCATTAAAATAGAATGTATAATCCTTTTCCATCCTCCCTCCCCCTGCTTGATCCAGTACAGTAACTTCATTAACGCAAAACTGTTTTAATTTTAAAAAACGAGAATTTCGATATATCGAACACCGTCTTTGTCTCGCGCGCCCATTATCCCGCCACGAAATCGATTTTTCCATTCTGTGTACGCCCACATCGAAGGCATTAATCTCGCAAACGAAGCACGATTAAACGCAATCGCGTGTCGTGCATCGTGGACACGTACACAGCGCATAAGGTATAAGCGTGTTCCTAACGAAAAAAAAAAAAAAAATTAAAAAAGCGGCCAAAGAAAGCTTCGGATTATATGGTATTCACTTAGTGACGTCACATTTAGTAACCAATCCCCCTCCTCTGTAACTTTCCACAAGAGGAGAATGTACGACGTCACGTAGCCCCACCGCTGCATCAAACCGCGTGGCTCACCAATCCAGCAGTGTAATATAACGTCACGTGATGCTACTCATGGTCACCTGGAAAGATAGATAGATATGTGATATGTTATATCACATATGACTTCATTATCGCATATATTGCTTAATCTCTTTCCAATAAACAAAAGTTTCTTTTCTCCCCTCTAACTGTATCTCTGGAGAGAGTGAAAATCTATAGTCTGGCAACTCTGTGAGAGCGAGAATCACGGTGATATCGAGGCGAAGCAGGGATAAACTCGGGGAAAAGGGACGTGTGTAGAGACGTGGAAAGAAGTTCCCTTTGAAACGAAGCTGCGGGCTGCGGGGTTAAGTACTGAGATAGAAAAGGAAGGCCACGTCTAGATAGAAAAGGAACGACGCCGTTTGAATACCAGATGGGTAGGAAAAAAAAAAAAAAAGAAGAAATCGAGCTGAAATCGTGCATATTGAAACGCACGTTTTAACGTTCGAATCTTGCATTTTGCAAATGTTATATAGGGTAAATCTGCGCCGGTGTTGATTTTCGACGGTTGGATAAATAAATGAACGAATAAATAACGCTCGTCGTTGTATTTTGTTTGCCGAATTGATTATTTTATTTCGGTGTAATGTAAACAAAGTGGGGAAATTGGAGATTTAGGTGGAAATATTTGTCGCGTTTTTGCAAACGTTTCGGGAATATAATTCCCAAATATTTTTATTCTTATTATTGTATTTAGATTATTATTATCCACAAGCATTACCGTGTATAATAACAATTTTACCTTAGTTTGGAATAACGCGTAATAATCAATGTATCTTTTTATATATCTGCACAGATGATATTCAAAATTTCGTGAAAAACGGAAAGAAACAGTATATTTTGCATTCTTTATTTTCTTTTGTATAAACAAAATTCCGATCTGATTCCATTTTCTCTTCGCAATTGTGACTCATATAGGGCTTGCCCTACGCAAGACCCAGGAAAACAAATTTCCCAGGATTCATAAATTTCGTTGGACGGGGTGCGAGCGAGGGATGGTTCCAGCAATTAAATTAAAATTTCGCTTAATTGCCACGATTAACATTTGAATCTCAAAAGTTTTCTGAAATTTATGCAGATTTGCAAAGAACCTTTTCGAACGCAAAAGTGTGGATCGTTGAAAGGCGGCGGGAGAAGAAGCGGCAAATCAAGAAAGTTGCGCGAAAGAAGGATGACCAAATATGCAAATTAATTTAATAATAAATTCCATCGATTCCATAATTTACTTCCCTCAACGAACGAATTCTTCTTTCTTCGAATATAGGGCATGTCTATAAAATCGGTATCCATCTTTTCTTTTTTTTTTTTTTTTTTTCTTCAAAGATTGGCTCTCTCGTGGCAAGTTTTAACGCGTGATATCGAGATTTTGGAGCGGATTCAAGGAGCGTGATTTGCTCGATTGCGTCGCGCCTCTTTTTCCCCCAAATATTGCGGGCAAGGGTGTAACACCGCCATACGATAACGCGAGTTTTGGAATTAATCCCGGCCAAACTGCTGCTTAAAAAAGATAATTAAGACTCCTTAATCGCCTTTGACGATTTACGGATTAATTAAGAAACGAGTTTTATTTATCCAATGTAGATTCGAGGATGTAAGTAAAATGCATTTATATTATGCATTTAAATCGTGTTACGGAAAGAAAATTGTTTTAAAATAATTCTATAATTGTTGATCGAGTTTGTTTAAAGAGATTTTATTAACAATCAATGCGACTCGAAAATTTAAATTAAATAAATTAGAGAATTAAGAAATGAGAAATTATTTATTAAATATATTATTTAGAGTTACTTGACGAAATATTAAACGACGTAACACTCGCTTGCTTCTTTGGCTGCAATAATTCTAGAGATTTTACAACATGCATACGTTGCAAATTTCAATTAATCTCACCAATTTTCAAACGTTCAATAATACCTATTCAACGCGTATACCGAAATGTAAATATTGTCCCGAAATGTAAACGCAGTTTAAATATGCGATACCGTGCACCGATTATCGATCTTTTGGACAACTGATGTTGCGGTTAAGTGACGTTCGAGTAATGGACATTCCAGTGTGCTACAATAAAAAAGACTGACACTGTTTGACACTGAAAAGGATTCGTTTCGAACGAGTAATATTTTCTCGATATTTCAACAAATAACAAATACTGCGATATTCTGGGAAAAAATTACTGGTATTTTTTATTTACCTATATCATCGTTGTTTTATTATTATTATTAATTATTGCATTATTGGTAAATCTCGTTACTGATTGTAATAAATAATTAAATTGATGATGCAAAGTGGATGATTTAAAAACATTTTCTTTTTTTTTTTTTTTTTTCTCGTGAAAATATTATTCGATAAAATAATACCTGTGAATCTGGAAATTGTGATCCCTAAAATCTAACATTCGAACGAAATTTTATTAAGAACTTTTAAAAATTTTTTTCCTTCGAATTCTACCTCCTTTCTATCTCCGATTCATGAATATTTATTGTGAATCTTATCGATTCACTCGTACAAATTCTAAATTTTACATGAATTTTAACTCTTCAATTATATTGAAGATTCAAGTGAAATGTTGATGAACACTCGATGATTACCTGTTTTTCTCTTTTCTTTTTTGAAATATTCGACACTTTAAAAGTTTATTATATCGTATCTGACCTACAGGATACAAAGAAATGATATTAAAACAAAGTTACTTAGCCTAGCACGAAGTAGCCATGATTTATGATTTCTCTCGTTTACAATATTTCTCACGCCAAAAAACCAGAAATGCAAAGAATCGAGTGATTAATGCATTACGAATTAACGTTATTTTATTTAGATCGTATCTTGTAATCTATCTATTTGCAATATATTTATATAATATCAACACTACGAGCTCGTAAGATTATAAGATATAATTCGTCCCTTCCCGTTATTATCGAGATAATTGGCAAAGAAAAATTTTCTCCCCCTTCCACTAGTGCCACAAAGTTTCCGATAAAATTACTTTTTCTATCTCTGGCAGAATATCGCCTGAACAAGAAGAAGAAAAAAGAAAGAAATATATTTCCTCGTCCGATTTTTAGAAACTTTCCACCAACTTTCCATTCCCTCGATCATCAAATTTTTCCCAATCAGCTACGTGATAATTGCGGGAATCAGAGATACTTGAACGATTCTCGAGGCGCAATTCTATTACCTCGCCTTGAACAACAAACCGAAATACCATAAAACAGCGAACAAACGCGAGCTCCTCTGGAGAGAGAAAGAGAGATGGATCGATAGAGGGGTAACGATGTAAGGAATTCTCGACAGGG